ATCGTCAGTTTTACAAGTCGCCGGTGGTCGCAAGTAATCTTAAGCTCTAGTGTGACTGGGGTTTAACATAACAAGTCTGACACTTTAACCAGACAGCCATGCAGACCAAGCAGATCGTGTAACTAAAATAACCAACAACAAGTAGCATGGCAGCAAAATTATTTTCCTACAGAAGTATTAATGGTTACAAAATTGACATCAGTTTTTAGAGCCATTCACACCAACTGTTGAAGGGCAGAATTTATATTTCTTTTGTAGAGTTCTATGAGGCAATTCTAAATAAAAATATCTCAAAGTACAAAAGGCCAGTTTTTGTTTGTTTAATGTTTGCTTTGGGTTTTACGTCACATCAACACAGTATAGGTCATATCGCGACATTCCAGCTTTACAGGTGGAGGAAGACCTCAGGTGCCCTTCCGTGCATTATTTCAGGCACAAATGGGCACCTGAGTAGAACCACCGACGTTTTGTAAGCTAGCTGGATAGCTTCCTCACATGAAAGAATCTATAAAGTCCCTGTCGGGAATGGAACCCATAGCGGTGAGGGGCAAGTGGTTTCAAGTCAACGACCTTAACCACTGGGCCATGGACGCCCCCCAAAAGGCCAGTTAAAAGTAGAATAGTTAATAGTTTCAGACTTGTTTTCATCTTGAAGTTCTACATAGAATAAGTGGCTCCTAGGGTGCCGCCAATTTGATGCAAAAGGTATGATTTATATATAACTTTTGTTGTCTTAGCAATGCCACATAACAAATATGTAAGTTCTGTCCTGGAGTGAACATTTTTAAACTTAGTTTATTATCCTTTATAATCAATGTACCAAATGTGACCCAGGGATCCCTCCATTTTCTAATGCAAATTGGCATGAGTTATAATTATCACATTTGTTGAGGTTGATTTGGCAATTTTACAATCATGCCAAAAGAACAATAACCTCTGTACAACAACAGTATCATTTCTAACCAAAGACTACACAATAAATTTAACCTCTCTATAGCAACCACCTCTCACAGCAACCAAAGTCTTTGTCTCCTAAAGAGAGTTTCTCTGCAGAGGTTGTACTTATCAAAATTCCATGCTATTATTTAGGGCTTTTCAACCCCCCTATGAAGGCAATTTATTCTAAGATCTGTCACAGTATACCTAGAAGTATGATTTAAATGAGTGTTTTACTTGTGGTGTATTGTGTAAAAAGCCTACATTGATTAATATCAGAAATGTCAACAGAACTAAAAAAAAATGTAGCAGTCCATATTGTGTGTAAGAAATAATTTATTTGGTTAGGTAAACTTGTATTATTAATCAAACTGAGTCAGATTTTGCAGCAGAGAATATTATAAATTTGTTGTATGTGAAAACAATAATATTAAAACAAGATTTATAATAAATGCAACGATAGGTAAATAATATCTAAATATAATTGAGCCGTGTCAAGACAAAACCAACATAGTGCGTTTGCGACCAGCACGGATCCAGACCAGCCTGCGCATCCGCACAGTCTGATCAGGATCCATGCTGTTCGCTATCAGTTTCTGTACTTGTAATGGGTTTGTAAGCGAACATCATGGATCCTGATCAGACTGCGCGGATGCGCAGGCTGGTCTGGATCCATGCTGGTCGCAAACCCACTATGTTGGTTTTGTCGTGACACAGCTCAATTATATTTTTACATTGCTACCGTATCCACTGGGATAATTAGCAATTGCAGGTAGACAAATAAGTTTTTCCAATATCTTGGTCATGACCTACTCCATGCATAATAGGAACCTATGATTCTTACATTTCAATATCTGTTGCTCAGATATTTAAATATTTTATTATTAAATGATTTATTTTCAATTATAATTATAAGAAATATTAAAACAACAATGGAGCAGATGATGCTATGATTCCTGTATAGATGGTAGATTGAGATGAACAATCTGTATACAAATCTAGATATATGTATAAATAAGTTTATAATACTGCATGTTTCTAAGGTCACCTCTCATTGGATAATCACGATGTAATATAGTCTATATTACAAGGCTGCTATCAATTTGTGAAGAAATCTTTTTTTCTCTAAAAGTGAATTTCACTGCATTATAAATTTGTTAAAAATATTCCTGACAGATTATATGACCGTATATAAACAATGGTTTGCAATATAACCCAAGCTGCAAGGCAAAGGTTATATTTCCAAACAAAGGTTTATTATGAACTTTATAACCAATAATATAAAGGAATAAAGAAGGTTACTTACTTTTATTATTCAAGACAAACATTGTCCTTTATCGTCTCATGTAACAATACCAGATATTACTTCTAGACATGTCATATAATTCCACTGTATACAAAAATCTCACCTCCATTTGCAAAAATTAATTTATTTTTATTATTTTTACTAATTTAAAAGTTACTAAATTTCTTGACCAGATTTTTAACATACACAATGTTAGTCACTTCCTCTATTATATTTATCAGGAACATTTTAGCAAATGTATACAGTAACTCCTGATTTTGTATGATTAGTTATCATGTAATATATAGCGTGTAGCACTGTTACTTTTTGTCAATTAACATTTTATCACCGTACAAACATTTATTGAACATTATCGCAATCGCTCTTGACTTGTTGTGCTGCAGTCATTTACATAAAATTGAAATATTTCACTGATTTCACCATTCAGCCATTCCTTGTAGGAATATCATACTATATATTATCAATCTCATCAATTCCTTATTTATCACAATTTCATTAAATGACTATTTCTTCTATTACACACTGAATCTTTACAAATTTCTCATTATTTCCATAAATTGCCCTGAAATATGTCTTATATAAATAAAAAAAACAAAAACATAAAAACATTGCAATGCAATGAACTTTTAGAAATCAGAAATTTTATAATCCATTCTCGCAAACTTTTGCAGAACACTTCCATGTATTTATTAGTATTAGAATTTCAGAAAATATTTTCTCACAAATGTAAATTTTGCAGAGTAACTGTCATTGGTATCATTTACTCTACATGTCGCTTCATATTTCATTGTATCTTTTATTTTTAGACAAATAATTAAAGACCCCCCTAAATGCCTGTAACTAGGCAAAATTTGGGCCCAGTTCTGCCTCATTTCAACAACTTATGTTCAGTGCTAAATAAGTTTAATTATTTATATTTAGAATTGACAGAAGCTGTAGTACTGTAAATCAATCATTTGATATGATTATTTAGTTGGTTTTACTTCCGAACGTTGTCCGTGGATTATTTTACGGCATTATTTCGTACAGTTTTCGTAGCATATTATATCTTTCCAACCATCAATGCTCTGTTACATTGTAACAAATGATTTAAAATATACAGCATTGCGTCTTTTTATCTACAGTTTTTGTTGAGGTATTATTTGAATAGGTGGCGTAGATATAACATTGTTAAATCAGTATATATCTATAAGATAAATGACGTGTTAAACCTGTCTTTGGCATATTGAGTTGTAACAATGTCTAATATAATGAATAAAACGCACAGCTGACAAAATCAACAATTTAATGTTACAGATTTACATAAAACGGTATTATATTTTTTTTTCTGTCGATTTGACATTTTTTGTTACCTATTTAAATTTTATAGAGGTATTTACATGGATCGTAATAAATTGTTCATAGAATTTAACAATCTGGCTAATTATTGTAATGAAAAATGTCATTTCAATTGACTGATAATAAAACAGGGGCATAACTCTTAAAAGTTTGCTTTCAGAGTAATGTCCCTTGTCTTTATAACTAGCCCTTCTCATTTTAAGCAAGTATTCCTATTTTCTTGTTGATATCTTTTAAATTGTTTAAGTCATGGGCTATATTAAAGTTTTGCAACATGACGAAAATGAAAATGCAGTGATCTTAAAGGGACTCCACTGAGGTTTTCTGACATAACAGACTGGGATAAATCTTTTTGAGATTAATGTTCCATTTGATGTAGGTCTAGACCAATAATTTGTGAGCAAAATTTAGGTCATTCGTCCAGTCTTTTACTCTATAATCTAATTGTGAAAAATTAGCAAAAATCGAAAAGCGTTCCAACCCTTTGCTAAGAAAAGTGCAAAAAAAGGTTAGTTTATTTCTTAATTATGTTTTACATATTATTCTGTTGTAAGTCAATGTTAGATGTTTTAGGCTTTTGGACCTCAGTGGAGTTCCTTTAATGTTATAAATTATAATATCATCAATGTCTTTTAATATTTACTAATAAATGTATTAAAGCTCTCAAGGCCCATATAAAATTATTTTGCAGAGCATTATAACATAATCCTAGCTGTTTTTGCTTTCATATAGCTCTACATAGCATTTTAATATTGGTATATGTTGTAATAGTGATCAAGTTCTTTGCATTTGTAAATCTGTTAATATAGAGAATAGTTCTACAGTAGTTACTGAATCATCAGCATGTTAAAATCATGTATGTGAATCAATATAACTAATCATATAGAAATGATTGATTCGTATGGGCTAATTGCCTCATTGTACAGTAATTCTGAAGGCTTCTATTTGAAATGATTATATAATCTTAATTATCAATGATTACATATTTAGAAAATATAATCTTTTGTTTGGGGTATTTTTTAGTTTGCACCAACACTTTTAGTTCATACGGCCACTTTCCAGTTTTACTGGTGAAAAAAGACCTCTAGTGCACCTGCGTGCATTATTTCAAACACAAGAAGGAACCTAAACACAACCACTGATGCCTTGTTAGCTCGCTGGATAGAGTCCTTACATAAAGATAATAATTCCCTGGATGGATTCAAACCTCACACCTGTGATACGTGGGTTGAAGTCAAAGACCTTAACCACTCTACCAGGGACGCCCCATATCTAATCCTGAATTCAAGCGATATGTCATGTAGTTATGAAAATACTATTTCTATCTCAAGTTTAAAATGTACTGTTTTTCATTATATAAAGACAAGACCGCAGATTATACGATATGTATGTCAAGAATTTTTTGAGTCAGCTAACCTACCTTTAACAATTTTACTTTTCTTCTCTGAAAGTTGCCTGGCATCTTCCTCAACTTTATATTTCAAAGACAAACTGGATCTCTCCTGAGCAGACATTGCTCTAATTCCAATACACACTTTCTTTTCACCTATACTTTTGTCTTTGGAAATCATTATGCTGTGCTCGTGTACCAAATGAGGCCGTCTTGCCTCGGCCGACCTAGTTCGGTCCTCCATCATGCTGCTACTATTTTTAGAACTGTTCACCTTTGTTAAAAATTCTGAGTTTGTCATTGGTCAAAATTATTCTCTCCCGCCAACTTTGTACATGTGAGTATCGGGTACTCACCTCTGTCAGTTTTCATTGTGCCATAACAATATGTGTATTGTATAATATTATGTCCCTATTTTGTCTTGCCAATTTTCTGAAATAAAGCAAAAAAAGTACAATAACAAATAAATATATGTGACAAAATCTGTATTAAGTTGATTTCATCAAACCAAACAAATGGGTCATGATGATCAAGGGGAGATAAATGAAGAAAAACTGGATGCCACAAAGCTTTTTCAACTGACTTACACTTACTGGATCATGGCCTTAAGTATTGATTAATAAGTATCATTAATTAAACGATGCAATAAGTATTAAATACAAAGTTATAAAATTTGTAATTTTTACTAAGAAAAAGTTAAGCCATCTGCAAAGGATGATTAAAAATATACTCAGAATTATATAGAAAATTGCTTGTTGGTGCAATTTTGACCTGATTTGAGTGCAAAAAGCGTTTGAAAATATTTGGCTCATTTTGCACAATAAATATAAGTACATGTATTCTAAAAATAATAAACAGGGAGAGGGAATGATTTAAAAATTTGCACACAAGTAATTGGTTTAGGGTACACAAATCTCTGAAAAAACTAGAACTATCGCTGAATGCGATTCATACCCCCACCGATGTCCTTGACAGAAGACGACTTGGAAAGGTGGTTATTTAGGGAGTAACTTTAGTGGCACAAATACATATACATAAAAAGAAATTATCTGGTGAAAAAAAGACAAATTGTACAGGTAATAGTATAAATATATATTGTCAAATCATGTTCAAAATAACGACATATTGTCTAGTATTATTTGTATGTAAATTTAAAGACTTAAAAAGGGGCATAACTTTGTCAAAATGCAATACAGAGTTATGAAACTTGACCTGCATATCTTATTTGTGACACCTCATGTATCTTTGAAGTTTCAAGCAAATACCTGTTCTAGTTTTAAAAATATTCAAGTACATGTTAAAATTTAAGAACATTTTCTAAGTCAATTTTTGACCTTCAAGTGTGACCTTGACCTTAAGCCAGCACAAAGGTAACATGGATTCTGCACATAACCTTGTTGAGGTGAACATTTGAGTTAAGTTTGAAGAAAATTCTTCCATTAGTATAGGATTTATAGAGTGGACACGACATATTGTCTAATATTTGATTGTATGTAAATTTGAAGACTTAAAAGGGGGCATAACTTTGTTAAAATGCAATACAGAGTTATGAAACTTGACCTGCATATCTTAATTGTGACACTTCATAAATATTTTATGTTTCAAGCAAATACCTTTTCTAGTTTCAGAAATATTCAAAACATGTTGAAATTTAAGGATATTTTCTAAGTCAATTTTTGACCTTCAAGTGTGACCTTGACCTTAAGCCGGCAAAAATGTGACATGTGTTCTGCACATAACCTTGTTGAGGTGAACATTTGAGCCAAGATTGAAGAAAATCTTTCAATTAGTGTAGGACTTACAGAGCGGACACAACATACTGTCTTATATTTGATTGTTTGATATTTGACCTTCAATTATGACCTTGACCTTGAGCTGACACATGAGCAACATGGGTTCTGCACATCCCCTTGTTGAGGTGAACATTTCAGCCAAGTTTGAAAAAAATCTTTCAATTAGTGTAGGACTTACAGAGTGGACACGACATTCTGTCTAATATTTGATTGTTTGATATTTGACCTTCAATTGTGACCTTTACCTTGAGCTGACACATAGGCACTATGGGTTCTGCACATCCCCTTGTTGAGGTGAACATTTGAGTCAAGTTTGAAAAAAATCTTTCAATTAGTGTAGGACTTACAGAGCGGACACAACATACTGTCTAATATTTGATTGTTTGATATTTGACCTTCAATTGTGACCTTGAGCTGACACATGGGCAACATGGGTTCTGCACATCCCCTTGTTGAGGTGAACATTTGAGCAAAGTTTGAAGAAAATCCTTCAATTGGTATAGGATTTATAGAGTAGACATGAAAATGGAGGAGGACGGACGGACGGACCCACTGATGCGACAAAGCGAATCCATTATAGCCCCCCCCCCCACATTTTGTGGAGGGGGTATAATTATTCTAGTCCTGTCAGGTATATAATAAAAACCTCAGTGGAGTCCATTTAGCATACATACATCTAGCCTGAATCAGCTGATGAACCTATTTCTATAATAAACTGAAAAAAAAGGATGCTGAAGTTATGCATATTTTGGAATCATTGTAGGCAGTGAAGGTAAAGAACCATAAATATCAGTAGAACTTTAAAAGTACCCATTTTTAAATGTAAACAAAGGGATAACTGGGGAAAATGAATGTCTGCTGTCACCACCCAACAAATACTGCCTATTCTGCTTGAACAGACAGACAGACAGTTCAATTACTATGTGCCCTAATAGGCATAAAACAATTAAAAGTAAAACAGATATAGGTCTAAACATCAATGTTAAACAATGGTTTTTAAGTTTCTGTGTAATTCAGAAATAGATAAAGAAAATTTTCATTTACTAAATTGATTTACTTTTAAGAAGGTAAGTATCCAGGCAGCTGTCAATGATTCTATATGTGAAGAATAATGATTACTCTGAAACTATCCTGAAATTTTACTTAAAAGGAACCTAAAACTAATACATACCAGAGTTAAAGGGGAGTAACTTTGTTTTTGTCTCATCTAAATCTACATAGGGCTGTCTCCCTTGATGTTAACAAATTTTAGCTGAAAAATAAAAAGAACATTGAATTCTTTTGGCAAAGTTATATTGAATATCTAATTTGATTATTGTGTGCAAAGAAATGTAAGTATTTAATAGAAAAGTTAATCTGTATTTTATTAAAGCTCTTCCATTATGAAAAACACAAAAGGTACAAATTTATGTCCACTGTAATTGGATAAAAGTCCTAAAAGCATGCTTTATCATTGTGAATATTTCAGTCTGTTCTAATTATAACTTTGTCTCAAATCAAATATTGACTGTAGTTAAATCAAAATGTTAAACAATATTAAGTTCTGCAGTGGAAATCTATAAATGTACAAACAGTGGGTGAAAATGTCTGTCAGGTAGTTGTTTAAATGAACCCATAATTGCTGTTCATGTCATAAATTGCGCAGTTCTTTGATGTAGTGTTGTCTCAATCAATTATAAATCAGTGATCTTTTCATTCAAATGTAAATATATATAGGACTAGAAAATGTTTGATTCAAATTTATTTTATTTCATTGTATTAAAATCTTCACTCTGGTTATTTGAACACAAGGTGGGGGTCTCGTTTGATGTGTGTCAGGAATTAATTTCTGGTTACAGTGTCTGGCTGTAACCTACAACAATCAATAAACAATACCATGTCAAATTCTATATCTTTCTATATTACTCAATACAAGTAAGAATTGTAACTTTACTCTGCTTATACAAAATTTTAACAAATTTTAACAATTAGATTATTATAGCAAAAAAGGTGGGTGTAACTATGGTAAATATGATTACAAATGAAAAGCAGTAAATGATAAACTGTCATATGATCAATGATGGGAAAGGCTGATAAAGTAGTCAAAATCTGTAATAGGAGACACCTAAAGAAGAAATTTTAGTTATGCCCAGACCTGGTAGAATTTAAGTTCCTTATCTCTCATTTCTCTATGCAGTCTTACACCAAAACCTGGTAGAATTAAATTTGCCTATCTCTAATTTCTCTATGCAAGTGTCTTACACCTAGACCTGGTAGAATTTAAGTTCCTTATTTCTCATTTCTCTATGTAGTCTTTCATCCAGACCAGAATATAAGTTAATAAGTTAAATTCCTTGATATATTTAAAAAATTTCAAAAATTAGGTATTTTTTAAAAAAAAAAAGACCCAAAAGAGTAATAGTTTTGACAATAGACTTTTTCTAGTTACTATATTTCTATATTTCCAGTTTTAAGTCAATCTCTTGAAAGGTTTTGCAGTTTAATTATATTCCAGACATGAAAATTAGAGCCAAATTGCATAATAAGGGGGATAATAGGCCAGTACTTTTAGAGTAACAGTAACCCTTCTTTAAATGTGACTGCATAACGTAGCTGTTTTTCATGCTTTATATATATGTGTACAGTCCTTGAATATTTTTTGAGTCAATAATTGCTCACTACAAGAGCAATGACCATAGGGTGGGTCATAAATAAAATTAACCTGTATAGGAATTGAAACAAGAGCTGTCGGTAGGACAGCAACGCTCGACTATTCTTAGTGCTTGATAGTAAAAAAAGCCTTGATTAAAAGGTAAAATTTTCTCAGTACTGGCATGCGAGCAGTTCCCGTACAAAAATCGTAGTTACTTAAACATTATTTTTTATTACGCTCACTCACCAAAATTTGAATGTTACACATCAATATTCGGCTCGTCACAAAAATCATGGAAATTCCATCATGTTCTAAACATAGAATAACCCTTAGTTATGAGGCCTCATATGGGGTACAGAAATTATCCATTATTTTGTATGAAGAGAAGTAGTTCCCGTACATAAAATTTAACCCATTATAATTATACAATTTTATTATATCGGACCTATTTTTCATTTATAATTGTTGAACAGACCATTTTCTAAGAAATAAATAGATGTAATTCAGGAAATAGAAAATAGACTAAACGCGTGTATCTATTACCCGGTACCGTTACCCCCAACGCATTCACATGCGATGGCATGCTTGTATGCATGATATTTTACGCATTAGAGCCATAAAATTATTTTATATAGTAATATTGGTCAAAATTCTGATAATTAAACAAGTTTTCATCACATTGCCTTCTTATCTGTAAACAGGTGGTATTAGTGGAAAACCCTTTAACATGCCTCACGTGTAAGTATGTTTGCGCATGCGCGCAATTTAGGACGGAATCCCCCAGATAAAATAAGGTCACGTTTTGACAACGCAAAGTGATTTAAAATGAGACTTTTTATACGTATACTGCCGAACTGACACTTAGATTTTGTCTCGTTTATGTATCTGCTTGATTTGAAATGAATTTTTGAAAAATGCATGTAAAAATCAAGCGTTTAAATGAAAAATACGGGTACTGCTTCTGTACGGGAACTGCTCGCATGCCAGTAAAGAAAAAGGCAAAATTTTTCTTTAAATCCATATCACAGTTACAGGCATTGGAGAGAGTCCTATCATGCTTTCAAAGAAGAGAATAAAATTTCAACATGTTTCAAAGCCTTAAGTCAAAGAACTTTGAAAATATTTGAGGTATTACAAAAATTTTAACGTAAATTCTAAGTCAAAAAAGGGGCATAATTCTGTCAAAATGCTTGATACAGTTACCTCCTCCTGTCTACAGGTTGGGGTCATGATGGTGAACAAGTGTGCAAAGTTTCAAAGCCATATGGCAATGGACTTTGAAAATATTTGAGCTATTACAAAAACTTTAACGTAAATTCTAATTTGAAAAAGGGGCATAATTCTGTCAAAATGCTTGATAGAGTTACCTCCTCCTTTACAGGTTGGGGTCATGATGGTGAACAAGTGTGCAAAGTTTCAAGGCCATATGTCAATGGACTTTGAAAATATTTGAGGTATTACAAAAACTTTAACATAAGTGGTTACGCGGACGCGGACGCAGACGCCGAAGCTCGGGTGACTACAATAGCTTTACTTATTTTTATCGAATAGTCGAGCTAAAAAAGATAATCAAACTTTATAATATTAAAAATTCCATTATTTTATCAAGTGTTACATATTACATCTAACATATTTATTTGCACAAAAAATGGCAGTAAACATTTAATCACAGTAGCAACACTAATCAAAATGTCTGATAAATCAAATAAATCATTAATAAGTAAACACTGGGAGCACTTGACATGTTACACTGGCATTTAGATAGCTCTTCAACATCTAATATTTTAAGCTGCAGGAGAATTTATGAAGATTCAAGAGCACGCTTCAAGTCTGTTATAGATTAATATACATGCAGAATGAATTTGCTTTAATAATAATATATAATAACTAGAGCTAGTCAGAAGGACAAACTGATGGTGATTCTTAGTGCTTGATTGTAAAACTAGAACCTGTTCAAAAAGGGCCATAACTCTGTTGAAACCCAGTTAGAGTTGTGGGCTTTGAACAGTAACCTCCTGTTATGCTCTCAAATAAGTATGTAAAGAGATCATCCATTCCTTTCAGTAACTTTGAAGATAGCAACTTGCAAAAACATAACCTACGTTTTTAGCTTATGTGTTGGTGAAAATAATAGCTCTCCCAATTCTTTGAATAGTCAAGCTAAAAGTTCTTTAAAATAATAAAGCTGCGTCTTATATATTTATTTGACAATAATTTACTATGTCATACATAGAGGAAAACATATTACAACTTTTCAAAGCAGGTTTTACGTCACACAGTACATTTCAAATGATGACTTTCCAGCTTTATAATGATGGAGGAAAACCTCAGTAGAACTACCAATGTTCTGTACGCTAGCTAGATAGCTTCCACACATGAATGAATCTAAAGGCCCTGTCAGGATTTAAACCTACAGCAGTAAGGAAGTCAACAACGTTAACTACTCAGCCACGGACACCTGATACTTAGTGACATTTCATCATCAGTATTTTTTCTGACAGTGAAACCACTTGAACATTTGATTGTTCAAACACACAGTGATTAAAATCAGGCTTTACACAAGCGCCCTACGAGTGCCATGATGCTTTTTGATATATCTGATGTTAGGCCATCAGGAAGTCTGACAATTGAAATAGAAAAATAATTATTCACATTCTTTAATAAAATTAATAATATGTTTACTGTCTGTTTACAATTATTTATTGGTATCACATAAAAGAGTAACCAGAGTATTGAACTACATTAATTTTGTATATTCAAAAATGCATATTTGTAAATTAAGATCAAAATAGAACATTTAAAACTTATAAAATAATTTCTAGACATGTTATATTTCATATCATACTGAACGGCCTTTTTATATAAAAAACATTTTACTTCATTTCAATAAGATAAAAATCTTTATTATATTTTAATAGATCTTTGCATTCACTTAAATTTCTATAATTAATTTTCTTTTGATAGGAAGTGTATTTAAGTGGAATAAAAATCATGGGAGTTTATTTGGACTTGGGTATCAAAGATAATTCTATGTTATCTTAAGTCATGATTCAAGTCTATCTGTCTACAGGTTAAGTCTATTCAGTCATGTTGTTTATATCTTAATAATACTTCTTTGAAATCAATGTTACAAATTTATTTAAATATCAAGCATTGCAAGTGCATTGCTTTTTAGAAAATTTCTTAACATCAGCAGGGTTCGGTCATGTGGGAAACATTTTGTATAAGACAAACAACAAGTTAATTCAATTAATTATTATTAATAATATCAACAAATTCACTGCTTGCAATTGATATTCCATGATGTTATTTAAAGGGACTGAACAGAGATATTCCATGATGTTATTTAAAGAGACTGAACAGAGATATTCAATGATGTTATTTAAAGAGACTGAACAGAGATATTCAATGATGTTATTTAAAGAGACTGAACAGAGATATTCCATGATGTTATTTAAAGAGACTGAACAGAGATATTCAATGATTTTATTTAAAGAGACTGAACAGAGATATTCAATGATGTTATTTAAAGAGACTGAACAGAGATATTCAATGATGTTATTTAAAGAGACTGAACAGAGATATTCCATGATGTTATTTAAAGAGACTGAACAGAGATATTTTGATATGATGAGACTGCAATTTTTTTTTAAGATTAATATTCCATTTGATGTTGGTCTGTACCAATAACATGTGTGCAAAATTTCAGTTCATTCGCTCACTCCGTTTTCCTAAAATAATTATTTTAATTGTGAACAAGAGCTGTCGGAGGACAGCGACGCTCAACATTTCAAAAAAGTTGTCACAACGGTGTTTCATTGAGTATAATAATGCTTACCTATATGAATATATAAAATTGTCCCAAAAAGGTACAAAGGCATATTATTAAGATGTTTTATCAAGTAAATCACTGCTTGATTATAATGAATGCATAGAATTGTCACAAAAAAAGCACAACAACCCTTCAGTAGTTATGGAGATACCAGCTTGTGCACAAAAACTTAACCAAAAATTTCTTAGTCGAAAAAGGGGCATGATTATGCAAAAAAAGTGAATCAGAGTTATGGGACTTATGCCAATCATGTAAGATTATCACAGAGAACAAGTGAGTAAAGTTTCAATTCATTCCCTTCAGTAGTTATGGAGATACCATTTTACAGGCAAAAGCTTAACCAAGAAATTTTAAGTCAAAAAAGGAGCATAATTATGCAAAATACTGGATTAAAGTTATGGGACTTGTGCCAATCATGTTAGATAATCACAGAGAACAAGTGTGTGAAGTTTAAATCCATTCCCAAGATACCAGCTTACACATAAAAACTTAACCACAGGCATTCCAACGCGGACAAATGGGTGACTGCAATAGTTTGAATATTCTGCAAATAGACAAGCTAAAAATGACCTAAATTATAAAGCCTTGCCATACTTTCACACAATTTTAGGATAAGAATAGCTCAAAAATATGATTTTCAATTTGTTTTTTTGTTATTACCTTCTACATGTTATATCTGTATGAAGTGCCCCAGCTGATCTTTGTAAGAAATTCAAATTTTCTGTTTTTAGGCTTTTGGATCATAGTGGAGATCCTTTAATCAGCTTTCACCTGCTGATACTTAGAAATGTGCAGGCTGAACTGGCTCTACATAATGGTTACAAAGGTGAAACACTTTTACTTCTAGCAGGTAATTAAGGGTTAAAATAACTATATAGAGATCGTCAATTGTGTTTATAACTCTAGTCATACATATAAGTGGCCTTACAACATGGACCTAGTAAGTTGAAGGATATCAGCATTTTCCTTTCTATGGTATTCATATGTTGTCAAATTTGAATTTTAAATGAGTATGGCACTTATGTAATTGGCTTTGAAGTAAAAACTTCAGAATATGTTAGAAATACACAAGTTAATCCTGTGCAATGACCTCAACCTGTGCAATGATCTCAACCTGTAACATAATAGCATGGCTTCTGCACACTTATAGTGGTCATGTGTACCGGATGATAAACTGCACTTAGGAATATACTATAGTACATGAAAATTTTTGAAATACTAAGTTCAAGCCCCTTCTATGACCTTGACCTTTAACCAGGAGAACTGGGGGACACAACACATTGTCTACTTATTATGGTTGTATGAACCAATTTATTTTGAATCCCATCATGCATGTAGAAGTTATTAATCGAACACAGACCCAAATTGAACATCAGAAAATATGAGAAATCAGCTAAGTTCAATCCTCTAATGTGACCTTGACCTTTTGACCTAGAGACCTGGGTCTTGCATGTGTTACAATGTCTACTTATGGTGGTCATGTATATCTCATTTAAGTATTTATTATATTTTCTGATATAAATTTCATCTCCTGTAAAGAGCCCCATACCAGAGATTAAGCAGTCCTGGCCACAGAGAAGTTGAGCAGCAATGGAGAAAGTTCACATTTATACAATCTAGCATAATTAATTTTATTTTCATACAATTTACAAGGGTATAGGATAGATTTTCAAAAATTGGGTAAGTTAAATTTTAAAAAACAATTAAATATATATTAAAAACGTAAAAAATCATCCCAATTCAAGTTGATAGGAAATAAAGAAGTATCACGATTAAATAATTTCATACCACAAGTATTACCTGTCCTGAGGAAAGCTTGATGGGCAATTTTAAGTCCATATTTAAAAATCATGGTAAAAACAACTCCATTTACCGGTAGCTCACGAATTTTATTTTGAGTCTTGTATTTTTTCCTTTAAATCCAAACACTACAAGAAAAACCACTTACAAAAAGCACATTTATGAAAAAATGATTCATCTCCTTCTCTGTACAACGAATAAGAACATTCTCCATTTCAAAATAACATTTTATTAAAGATCTGTGGCTTATAATCAATTAATACTGGATTACACAGTATTTTACTCCTAGTTTAAACACTTCAAAGTCAAAATTTACCAATTTGCTCAAAAACGCACACACTCAAATTTCAATTAGAAAACTAAACCACACATAAAAGATATGTTTTATCATTTTATATAATTCTTTACAAATAAAGATACAGTATGGTGATCAAATATCAAATAAATACTGGCATTGTCATACGATAAGTGATCCGACACCCCTCACGTCAAATATTTTAATAAAAAGCTCAAGGTAAACGCTCTGATTTAATAAAGATACTTAAATGAAAATTACCAAAGTGATTGATGGTACACATCGATACATTAATTACAGACTGGTTACCCAACGGAAAATGTTTTAGTCTGGTTCTCTGATTGTCAATTTTCTAATTCAAAATAGAAAATAGATAAAATGCAATTTAAAAAGTTTTGAGCGCTTGCTTCACAATGCTTGAAAAGCTGAGATTTTATTAATGTAAAGTTAATTTTTTAAACTTTTTAATAAATGCTATATTACAGTACAGACCTCTGAATACTAAGTCCAGCAAATCATCTTCTGTCGTCACGGAAATGATGAAATAATTTACTCCTAGCTATGAAACTCATTATCTTATTTAAAAAAAATTAATGTCAAAAATACTGTACGGTATATTAATATTCCAGAGACAGTTTTGTTTTATGGTATTAGGTAATCTCATATTATTAAATGTACTTTTATTATTCTTCTTACTCACTCCCAATATCATGAACCTGCTGTATTTTAATATATTTTATGTTTATATAAATACAATACAGAAGTAATATTTCACTTGAACCCATTTAAAATCACAATAATATTATATCAGTTAAAACACCTTTATTTACTTAAACAAAAATTTTGTTTTTATTTGAGATATTGCAATTATGTAAATAGTTTTGCCAAGATTTAATCATTGACCATATCAAAATCAAGAATAGAGAGAAATAATACACCACATGCTTATATCTTTTAAATTGTGTATTTTATCCTCTCAATTTTTATAATTATCAAATATTCAGCAATATATATGAAAATATTTCTTAAACCTTCTAAGATTAAACCAAAGACCACTGCCCTGTCTTTGATTAAACCTAGTGAGTGACAATGACCCCGGTCTTGTATTAATGAAATGACTATTGTTCTTGTCTAAGATTCAACCAATAACCATTGTTCTTATCTTAATATATTAAAGGAATGACCATTGGTCTTGTCTTATATTAAAGGAATGACCATTGTTCTTGTCTTAGATGCAACCAATAATCATTATTCTTGTCTTATAAAGGTTGTCTTAGATTCAACCAACAACCATTGTTCTTATCATATATTAAAGGAATGACCATTGTTCTTGTCTTATATTAAAGGAATGACCATTGTTCTTGTCTTAGATGCAACCAATAACCATTGTTCTTGTCTTATATTAAAGGTTGTCTTAGATTCAACCAACAACCATTGTTCTTATCATATACAGTAGAACTTCTTCGAGTCGAACTTTGATTAGTCGATCTCGATGTGTCGAAGTAAAATGAAAGTCCCGATTTTTTCCCTTATATATTCCTTATAAAAACCTATTTATGAGTCGAGATTTTATGTGTCGAATTTTTGATGTGATGAAGTTTTTTCGTGGTCCGTATAGAATAAATCTAGTACAATTTACCACAAAAAAGTCAAAGTCCTTCGATTATTTTGACACCTTTGATCTCGAGACATTTTTCACACCTTTTCTGGCCATGATGACGATTTCCGATCAACTTTAGTGACAGGTGTTAATTGCACAGCCAAGTATTCAAACAGCCTTTGTATGCGTTTAAATGTGTGAAAAAATGCTTAAATTGTTACTATTTTAATTGCCGTAGTGGTATTTGAAAGTTCATGTAAACATTAAAAACTATCATTTGAGTGCTTCCGTGACCCGGTATCGTGTGATAATCACACGCGAAATATTTACTATAAACTGGTTTAGTTATTGCCCTTTCATATCGTTACGCCTTTTGTAACTTCATTGTTTACGTCAACAGGTAGTCCAAATCATTACCCGTAAAAAAGTTACTTAACATGTCATATTTATCATTCTATAATATAAAATATCAGATTAATGAATGAAATAAAACATAATAGGTTAAAATATAGATCTTATAATTAGGGCTATTCACGGGTTGAAATTTTGTCATGAAATTCAGACCGAATTCATGAGTCGAAGTCTCGATGTGTCGAAGTTTTTACACAAGTCCCTCCAACTTCGACTTACCGAAGTTCCACTGTATTAAAAGAATAACCATTGTTCTTGTCTTATATTAAAGAAATGACCACTGTTCTTGTCTTAGATTCAACCAATAACCATTGTTCTTGTCTTATATTAAAGAAATGACCATTGTTCTTGTCTTATATTAAAGGAATGACCATTGTTCTTGTTCTATATTAAATTCTTGTCTGATATTAAAAGAATAACCATTGTCTTTGTCTTATATTAAAGGAATGACCATTGTTCTTGTCTTATATTAAAGGAATGACCATTGTTCTTGTCTTAGATTGAACCAATAACCATTGTTCTTGTCTTATATTAAAGAAATGACCACTGTTCTCGTCTTAGATTCAACCAATAACCATTGTTCTTGTCTTATATTAAAGGAGTAAACATTGTTCTTGTCTTATATTAAAGGAATGACCATTGTTCTTGTTCTATATTAAATTCTTGTCTTATATTAAAGGAATGTCCATTGTCCTTGTCTTATATTAAAGGAATGTCACCATTGTTCTTGTTTTATATTAATTTTTTGTCTTATATTAAAGAAATGACCATTGTTCTTGTCTTAGATTCAACCAATGACCTTTGTTCTGATTAAGATTTGTCATTGTCTTGTATCAAAGGAAATGTTCTTGTCTTACATTCAACCAATGACCATGATTGTCTTTGTCTTATATGACCATTGTTCTCGATGTAAAGATTAAACCAATGATAAAAATTCTTGTCTTACATTTAACACTAAGTCTTGTCTTATTTTCAACCAATGACCATTGTCTTTGTCTTACATTAAACCAATGACATTTGACTATAAAATATAATACCAAAGACAAATAGTTCTTGTCTTAGCTTAAATTAATGAGCATTGTTTTTACCTTAGACAAAACAAATGACCGTAGTTCTTTAAAATTTTCATCAGGTCATATAATATTGACCCATGTCCAGTGAAAATAGAATATCCACTAACTATTAGCCATCATTCTCTGAAATTAAACTTAGTACTCATTTCTTGTCATAGGTCATAGCTAGTCATAGACTGTAGGACAGGTCTAATCATGTTTCAGATTAAAGCTTTTAAACAGAAGAACTTTATCACCTATCAGGTAATAAATATTGATTTCAAGTATGGACCTCTTAAAACTATGAATATTTATTTTTTATGATATCTTAAACACTGTAGGCACATCTCAAATACCCTCTTTATCTTTTATCCAAATAGAAATGATCCTATTTTTGAAAGTATAATAAATAAATATATTACTATCAAACAAAATTAGAATGGTTCAAAATATGAACACAAAATCAAGAATATTTATCAAGACACTTTGCACATCATTATTGTGATCTTTTTGGGGTAAGGAAACAATAAAATTAATGCACTTTACAATTTGACTGCGTATGTACGCTTGTCTGTTAACCCTTTACCCCATATATACGCGAAACAACGCACTTTCCACCCCCCCCTTTTTTAGGCCTCAAAGAGTGAAAAAATGTCCTATTTGGGCCCCAAACACATGTTTTCGTTTGAGAAATGTTGCTAAAAAAATTGAGCACTTTTTCGGCGCGGCCCCCCATCCAAAAGATACATCAGGGGGTTGCCAGAAGGGGGATGTGCCCCCTTCTGTTAGGGGGGTTTGAAGGGGGGCGGAGTCCCCCTCATCGCCAAGAAAATTTTGGACTTGTGAGAGGCTAAAAATGACCCCAGGTCGATCATAATGTAACGTGTAACCAACGCTGAAAAGCCTTTGACTCTATCTCAATCCCTTGAGAAGTTGCAGCACTTTGAAATAAATTTTGATGGAAAAAATCGAGGCAAAATAGTGATTTTGGGCAATTTTGAGATGCCCCCTCGTTGCCATGGTAACAGGAAATTTAAGACTGAGCATGTCGTTACAAAGGCAATGGTCCAGTCAACATTTGTGCCAAGTTTGATTAGTATTGAAGCATTTTTCATAGTTTCATAGCAGTTTGAACTTGTAACAGGAGGCTTTTCAGTGAAAACGGCCATTTTCCACAAAATGCTCATGGGGGAAAGGGTTAAGGGCTACCAATTTTGACAAAAAAAAAATCAAAATTAAAAAGGGGCATAACTCCAAAATTATAGCTTTCAGCATTATGCCTTTGTATAACAAACTGCACTTTGTCATTATGGGCTACGTTAAAGTTGCTTCATTTTTTTTTTACACAACAACAACTCAGTAATCATAATAGCTAATTTTTTTTTTTTTAAATTTAATTTCTGAAATACTTTTCTTCAAGTTACTCCCCAGACAAGAGGGTGATAGACAGATGGACAGAAGGACAGACAAGACGTGGACAACATATTATATGCTCTCTTCTTTGGATAGCATTAAAATCAGACCAGTTCAAATAATTTATCTTACAATAAAATAAATCTATATAATTCAAAAGGAATTTAACTGATAAGCAGCAGAAGTTGTTTATCACCTGGGGGATATTACAACACAAACTAAACTACTAGGGAAATATGTCACATCATAGGTAAGGATATAAACCAAAGGATTACAGCTGAGGATTTATATCAAATTTGATACAATGATTTCCGCGTGTTTGCTTTAAAAACAGCTAGTTCTTTTCTGTCAATTTGTATAACTTTATGTTAATTATTAACCTTGGAAATTCCGACCTCATGGGTGGATCCAGAAAGAGGGAGAGTGGGTTTTAAAGCGGTCATAATTGACCCTGCCTGGAATTTAATTATAGCTAGTAATTGTGGAACCTCTCTCCGGTTTTGATATCAACTAATGTTATTTTAACAAAAAAAGTCACTCAAAAACTGGTTAAAAACCCGCATAAATTT